AAGATGTCACTTTGAGGACTAAAGTGTGCCTGATTCAGGCCATGGTATTTTCAATTGCCTCATATGCATGCAAAAGCTGAGCAGTGAATAAGAAAGATCGAAGAAGAATTAATACCTTTGAATTGTGGTGTTGGCAAAGAATATTGAATATACCATGGACTACCAGAATGAACAAATCTGTCTTGGAAGGAGTACAGCCATAATGTTCCTTAGAAGCAAGGATGGTGAAACTTCATCGTATTTACTTTGGACATGTTATCAGAAGGGACGAATCCCTGGAGAAGGACATCATGCTTGGTAAAGTAGAGGGTCAGCGAAAAAGAGAAGGACCCTCAATGAGATGGATTGACACAGTGGCTGGAACAGTGGGCTCAAACATAACAATGATTGTGAGGATGTTGCAGGACCAGGCAGTGTTCCGTTCTGTTGTCCACAGGGTCACTATGAATCAGAACTAACTCGATGGCACCTAACAACAACTAGTAAAACATGTCTGCCTTGAGCATTATGCTCTTTTAAGAACTATCTGTATGGGATCAAATGACAACAGCAACTCAGAAGATTAGATAGGAACCATGGCGGGGCAGTGAGTTAATGGGGGAGGAACAATTCAGAAAAGGAGGATGAGAATGGATGCACCAAAGAATGTAATCAGTGTCACTGGATTGTATATGTAGAAACAGTTGAGTTGGTGTATGCTTGCTGTGTATATTCTCAATAACAACAAAGTAAATAAACACAACTGTGTTGTTCCAGCTGACTAGATTATCCCATGAGACAATGGCCCTGGGACCCCAAACCAACAAAATTAATCCCATGAAGTGATTGGTTATGTCTAATTAGTATCAGCATCTATAGCCTCACTCCCCCCTTTTTGTTGTTATTATAGAAATCATACACAACCTAGCATTTGCCCATTCATCCCTTTTCCCTGTGTACAGCTTATTGACATCAGTTACATTGGTCAGGCTCTGCAGACTTCATCTTCGGTGCCACCTCTCCCATTTCTGTAAACAAAAAGTGACTACTATCTAAGGATTATTCCTCTGCACCCCCCAAACCCCTAGTAACCATGAATGAGCAGTAGTCTCTCTATATATACCTGTTCATGTCATTTCATAAAAATGAGAACATGCAATGTTTGTTTTTTTGTGAGTTACTTACTTCACTCAACATAGTGTCCTCCAGGTTCATCCACATTGTAAGATGTTTGGAGAACTCTTTTTCTTTATCACTAAGTAGTATTCCATTGTATTTACATACCACATTTTACTTATTCTTTCATCCATTGATGAAGACTTAGGTTGTTTCCATCTTTTTGCTATTGTGAATAGTGCTGCAGTGAACATAGGCATGCATATGTCTGTTCTTTTCACTTCTGTTAGATCCCTAGGGTACATACCTAGGAGTAGAATTGCTAGGTCATATGGCATATCTCCCTCTAGTTTTTGAGGAACTGACAGACTGTTTTCAGCAGTGGTTGTACCATTTTGTATTCCAGCCAGCAATGGATAAAGGGTTCCAGTTACTCCACTCCCCTCCAACACTTGTTATTTTCCTTTGTTTATCTTAGCCAACCTAGTGGAAGTGAAACTTCAGGATTCATTTCTTAATAGTTACCTGAAGTGTTAACAGCCACATTATTTAGCCTTGACTTTTAAGTTTTAGCATGTTCCTTACTCACCATTCTTTCCACTGTCTTGTGTTTTATTCTTTCTTCAGTTTATTTTTCTGGAATACATCCTAGAATCATTCTTTCAGAAAGGGTGAAGAATGAACTTAAGTCCAAAATAATATTTTACTTT